ATGGCCACAGGTGCATTTGGGGGGGATGAGTAACTGCTATTAAAATTTAAAAAAAAATAATTTCCAGGGGCTGATTAATATTTTTTCTGGAAAGGGGGCAGTAGGCCAAATAAGTTTGGGAACCACTGATCTACTCTCATAGCAACTTTCAAACATGCAACCAATACTGTTGACTACAGTTACCTGCTGTACACTAGGTCCCCAGGACCTGTAGCTGGAACTTTTTATCTTTTGATCACCTTCAGCTGTTTTCACCACCACCCCGACCCCAGCTTCTGGCAACCACCAACTTATTCTCTGTATCCATGAGTTTATTTTTTTTACATTCCACATACAAGTGAGATCATACAGTATTTATCTTTCTCTGTCTGACTTATTTCACTTAGCATAATGCCCTCAAAGTCTATCCATATTGTTGCAAATCGCAGGATTTTCTTCATTTTTTATGGCGGAATTGTATATACAGGGTGTCCCCCAAAATATAGACACACTTTAACAGCTGATAGCTCAATTGTGAAAATGAAATGTATTTTACTAAACACTGCCTTTATAATTATTCAAAGTGTGCATATATATTTTTTTAGGACTATATATATATGTGTGTGTGTGTGTGTGTGTGTGTGTATCACACCTTTTTTCCATTTATCCATCAGTGGACACTTAGATTCTATCCATGTCTTGGCTATTGAGAATAATGCTGTAGCCCTGGTCGGTGTGGCTCAGTTGGTTGGGCGTCGTCCCATGTACCGGAAAAGTTGCCAATTCAATTGCTGGTCAGGATACATGCCCGGGTTGCAGGCTCAATCCCCAGTAGGGGCATGTAGAAGGTAGCTGATGGATGTTTCCCTCCCACATCAATGTTTCTCTCTCTCCCTCTCCCTTCCTTTCTCTCTAAAAATCAATTTTTTTAAAAAAAAAAAAAGAGAGAGAAAAGAAAGCTGTAGTGAACATAGGAGTGCATTTTTTTAAATTACAGTTTTCATTTTCTTTAAATAAATACCCAGAAGTGGAATTGCTGGGTCATAAGGTAGTTGTATTTTTTTTAAATACATTTTATTGATTTTCCACAGAGAGGAAAGGAGAGGGATAGAGAGCCAGAAACATCGATGAGAGAGAAACATCGATCAGCTGCCTCCTGCACACCCCCCACTGGGTATATGCCCGCAACCAAGGTACATGCCCTTGACCGGAATCGAACCTGGGACCCTTGAGTCCGCAGGCCAACGCTCTATCCACTGAGCCAAACCGGCCAGGGCGGTAGTTGTATTTTTAATTTAAAAAATTAAACTGATTTTTAGAGAGAGTGGAAGGGAGAGGAAGAAACATTGATGTAAGAACAAAACATTGATTGGCTGCCTCCTGCATGTCCCCTACCAGGAACTGAACCCAAAACCTGGGCATGTGCCCTGACCAGCAGTTGAACTAGCAACCTTTTGGTGGACAGGACCATGCCCAGCCAACAGAGCCACACCAGCCAGGGCTATATTTTTAATTTTTTGAGAAACTTCCATACTGCTTTCCATGGTAGCTACACCAATCTGTATTCCCATAAATGGGAAGGGAACCTAGACTCAGGGAGAGGGTTCCCTTTTCTCTACATCCCCACCAACACGTGTTTGTTGATTTATTGATGATAGCCATTCTGACAGATGTGAGGTGCTATTTCATTGTGGTTTTGATTTGTATTTCCCTGATGATTGATTAATGATGTCACTCACCTTTTCATGTACCTGTTAGTCATGTCCTCTTTGGGAAAATGTCTATTTAGATCCTCTGTCCAATTATATATATACTAGAGGCCTGGTGCATGAAAATTTGTGCACTGAGGTCAGGGGGGGCAGTCCCTCAGCCTAGCCTGCCCCTCTCGCAGTCCTGGACACCTGGGGGGATGTCCGAATTCGGAGGCGGGAGAGGCTCCTGACACCACTTTTCACTCACGAGCTGTGAGCCTGGCTTCTAACTGAGCGGTGCTCCCCCTGTAGGAGTGCACTAACCACCAGGGGGCAGCTCCTGCATTGAGCGCTGGTTCGCCATTCGGTTGGTTTGCATATTACCCTTTTATTATATAGGATTATTGATTTCAGAGAGGGAGAGAGATAGAAACATCAATGATGACACAGAATAGTTGATCAGCTTCCTTCTGCACACCCCCTACTGGGGATTGATCCCTCAATCCAGGCATTTGCCCTGACCGGAAATGGGACCGTGACCTCCCGGTTCATAGCTGGATGCTCAACCACTGAGCAACACCAGCCAGGCCTCAGCCCATTTTTAAATAGGATTGTTTGGGTTTCTTTGCTGTTGTTTTGTGTGAGTTATTTATATATTTTAAATATTAATCCCTTAACTGTGGATTAATTTTTCTTCCATTCAGTAGGTTGCTTTTTCATTTGATGGATGGTTTGTTTCCTTTGTTGTGTAAAAGCTTTTTCATTTGATGTAGTCCTTCTTGCTTATTTTGCTTTTGGTGTCAAATCCAAAAAAATCATTACCAAGACTGGTGTCAAGGAGTTTCCCACCTATGTTTTCTTCTAGGAGTTTTATGGTTTCACGTCTTATATCCAAGTCTTTATTCCAATTTGAGTTGATTTTTGTGTATGGTGGGTCCCACTTCATCTTTTTGCCTGTCTTCCCCACACCATTGGTTGAAGAGCCTGTCTTCCTTCCCCACTGTATATTCTTGATTCCTTCGCATTAATAATTGACCATCTGTGCATGGATTTATTTCTAGGCTCTCAAGGACCTTCCTCTGTTAGCATCACTCCTGTGATGCTGGAGGCAGGAATGAATGGGCCAGGGCTTCCCAACCTTCCCTCAGCAAGTCCACCCACAACTCTCCCCTCTCCCTCCCGCCTGGGATGTGGCCTCAGTGTGCTTGGTCTGAAGGGTTTCCCATTACGACTAGATGAGCCCTTCTCACGCCTAATGAGCATTTAGGGGGAAGCAGCTGGTGCTCATTCTCCACAGTGTGGGGGCGGAGGGTCCCGGGAAGGGTACCTAGACGCAGAGGATAATTGTGCCCAAACTTGCACTGGGCTCAGACACACTTGGCTGCTGCGTCTATTTCCCTCCACACTCGCTCCCCTTCTTTCTCTACCTTCTGGGGCTCCATGCCACCCCCAGGTTCGCGACAGCGGTCTTGGCACCGATCTCCTCTCCCCAATTTTAAAACAGCCCTTCCGTGTCCCTTGGGACAGCCCTAGCCCAGCGAGCCCTCTCCCAGCTAGGGAGGCAGCTGCTGGCTTGGCTCAACGTGGGGAGGGATGTTGCCTCCGCTCCCTCTCCACTTCCAGCCCCACCATCCAGGCCACGCAGCCTGAAATTTGCAGAGTTAGAAATTCACTCCTGTGGGTTATTTTGCTTGGGCCATCGAGTTACCAATGTCTATTGCAGATGCATCAAGAAGCCCACTCACCGTCCAGGGGCCTGTGGGGGACAAATGAGACGGCACAAGACAGTGCAGAGGGTCGCTGACGGCTTAGGGTGGCAGATGGGAGCCAGTGGGGGCCCAGCCAGGCTCCATAGCTCCTAAGCCCCATGATCTGGGGAAAGCTGCTTGGCTTTCAGCCTCTTATCTTCATCGGTGACAGACGCCATCCCAAGCCTTGCTCCAGCCACTAGTACTCTCTGAAGGGGCAGTAGCTTTGTAAATTGTGAACTCCTCAATGTCCGTCACACAGAAGCCAGGAAGCCATCTAATCAAAGCAGCTTTTTAAAGGGAGGGGCGTGGGTGTGGGAAGTGAGGCCTGGGTGGGATGTCTGGGCAATGCCGGGCAGGCAGGGGCTGCCAGAGGCGCTGCCCGGGCGCCTAGGCCTGAGTGGGAAGGACACGCGGGGGAGGAAGAAGGAAACAAACAAAACTTCTCTTCCCAGCAGCTGCCTTAGGGGCCAGGCCCTGGTCAGGGCAGAATGAGCCAAGGATTCCCCGTGGGTTACGAGTTCCAGGCAACTGGGGATTCAGCTTTGTCAAA